TCAGTAGAAGAAGAACCAGTGGGTCTGGCCTGAAGGACAACCGGCCGATCAGAACAAGAAGAAGAAAGCAGCTGGTAAGGAGCATGTGAAGATAATCTATGGCGGACCGGAGGGAGGAGATTTGGCTTCTCAAAGGAAGAAGTGGGGGCGTGAGCTCTATGTGGGTTCAGTTACCTTTGACCCCCGGCGGAAACAAACTAGACAAGAGCCGATCACCTTCACTGACCGGGATGTTCCCATCACAGGGGAAGATCACAATGATCCTCTGGTCATAACCATTGATATGGGTGGAGTTGATTTCTCCCGGGTACTTGTAGACACTAGCAGTAGTGTCAACATATTGTACCTGGGGGCCTTTGAGAAACTCAAGTTGTGTCGAACACGACTTGAGCCATTAAAAACTCCCATGTCTGGGTTCACCGGGGATTCCATAGAAGCTGAAGGGACAATCCTCTTAACCGTTGAGTTGGACACATGGGATAAAGTCGTTGGAAGGAGAGGAAGACCGGTCAAAGTTGGAACCGGGTGACGAAACCGAGCTGATTGTTTTCCGAGAGGCATTCCAAATGAGGCTATGTTTTGAGGTCATGGCCAAATACAACCTGCGCCTCAACCCCAAGAAGTGCGTCTTTGCTGTGAAAACCAGCAAGTTCTTGGGGTTCATGGTCACGAACTGAGGGATTGAGCCCAATCCGGAGAAGATCAAGGCAATAACAGAGATGACGTCGCCAGTTCTTTGAAGGACGTCTAGCGACTGACTGGGCGCTTGGCAGCTCTAAGCTGTTTCCTGTCCTGGTCAGCTAAGAGAGCCTTACCCTTCTTCAAAATCCTGAAGAAGGTGAGCACCTTCGAATGGGACCGGGAGTGTGAAGAGGCCTTTCAACTGTAGGACCTCAGGCGCTACCAACTTTTCTAAAACCAATTGGTGTTAGAAGAGGCGCATACCCTAGCCTTATAGTGCATTCAGCACACAAGCGCCCACGATATTCGATTGTGACTTGGCCCACATAGCCTCCGCCATGAGACAACTGCTGCACACATGGCCAATAATCTCCCCCTTAGCAATTGCTCCCGCTGGGAATCGAACTCGTGACCTTGGCTCCGATACCACTTGTAGGACCTCAGGCGCTACCAACTCTTCTAAAACCAATTGGTATTAATTAGAAGAGGCGCATACCCTAGCCTTATAGTGCATTCAGCACACAAGCCCCACGATATTCGATTGTGACTTGGCCCACATAGCCTCCGCCACGAGACAATTGCTATACACATGGCCAACAGTTTAGCCAACCAAGTTTAGCACATTGATGATAATGCCTAAAGATAGGTGTAATTAATGAAGTAGTTGTGACAGAACTTTTCACTAGTAAAACTAATTATGGAGTAGGTAAATTAATCATCCAACTAGTTAAACTATCTTAAAAATTCTCACTACTTGAAATCAATTCATATTCCCTCTTCATCATTTTCAATAAAATCTAATTACCACTCTGCTTTATCCAATCAAACATATTCAAACTTTGAAGACTTCTGATACCAATAAGTACACTTTGTCTAATTAGTTTTAAAAGAAAATTTTATTCTGTACCAATCCTTGTGAATATGAGACATGAATAAATTGATTATTTTTTAGAAGATTTACTATCACTAAAAACTCTTTCGTCATGGTGTTATAACACCTATTAGGGAGAATGCTGTAAATGTAAAATGTAACACCTAGGCTCCCACCATGTTCGGAAGTGTCTACTCGTAAGGTTGTAAGAAAATTGCAGGGGGGCCACTCATCTTAGAATTGAAATATCTGGATCTATTTAAAGTTGGACAGATTCGAAATCAAATTAGCACTTTGATAACTCGCACACACGCAGAAGCAGATGACGCAGAGGGTGTTACAACACTTATTGGGCAGAATGTTGTAAACATAAAATGTAGCACCCCGGCCTCCACCCTAGTCGGAAGTGTTTGCTCATAAGATTGTAGACTGGCCCACAAACCAACAAGAATCCTTCTCATGCACTTTATCTTCACTTGTGTGCACCCAGGAAAACTTCTTTCAGGATCACCCATCCTAAATTTATTCAAGTCTAGCACGTTTAACTTTAGAGTTTCTAAGTGATGTGCTATAAAAAAGAAGATGCACCTTGTTGGTATGACTAATACTTTCAATCATTTTAAGCTCTTTTCATTCCATGTTAACACGGGGTATTACATAAAAAATGTTAAGAAGATACCAAATATGTTTGTGCGGTTTGGAAAAACTCTCCTACACTGTAGGGCTCACGTCTGTGTAGTAACCCTTTCCTAAATTACTATATTCAGATTACACTGGTACATGATGAGATACACTTCTCCAAAATGTTATGACAAAATCTCTAATCTAGGATTTCCGAACCATATCTTGTAGAGATCTGCTTCGGGTATCACTTCTCCACAGATATCACAAGGACAAAGGTGTTGGCAAGCCTCTTCTTCAGCTCAGGTTCATCTTATGAATGTTACGATCTCTTTGTTGTTGAAGATATCCTTCTTCATGTAGATCACAACTTCTTCACGCAAGAATGGCCCTAGGACGCTCTAGATTAGCGTATATTCTAAATATTTTTTTCTTTCAATTGCTTTTAAAAAATTCCCAGGGATCTGTTGATTATATATTGGTCTCTTCAAACTTTAATCCTAGTATGAACAGGTGATTAGAAACTGTCGTGAATATAACCTTTTTAATCTTTACCCACAAGTTTAGATAACCCCACTAAATACAAGCTGGATATTTAATGAAAAATTTTTAGTAAGTATTTGTAGTCCCAATAGGTCTCTGACATGTAAAATTGCAGATTGTAGACTCCAATTTCTGCACAGGCCTTACTGATCCTGTCACAGTCCGACGTAACATTCCTTGTGTCACCCTTGAAAAAACAAGAAATCTTGGAGTCTAAAAAGAATAATCCTTTCTTTAAAAATAGAAGTTTCTACCCAGTAAAACTCTTAACAAATATGGGCTTCTATTTCCCTAAAAGATTAGCCAACACTTTGTAACTAACATAAGGGATGTCGAGTGAAGGCTACAGATATTTGCCATTGTGAACACATGCACGAGATATTAGTTAGACTTTTTATGAATAGGAACACACATTGGTTCACATGGAAATAGGCGAGATACAAATACACAATGCATGCTCGGAACAAAGTCAGGTACATGGATCATACATGATTGTATTGTCGTGTTGTACCACGTCATGTTCAGAAAAAAATTTATGGCGTAATTGTAGGGGGCAACACCAGAGGCACAAATGACCAAGTGACATTTTCTGTGTGTCAGGGATTCGGATGTGTGAGTGTGAGAAATGGACTGCACTTCACATGCCATGTGCCCACGTTGATGCCATATGCCACAAAAACAAAATTACGGTAAAAGATTTCATTCCGCTGAACTTCTCGATCCAATCATACTTAAATGGATATTCCAAAAGTCTAATGCAACTTCAATTAAGAAATGGAATGGCCACATTCGAGATCTGAATTAGTGCAATCGAATAAAACCGATAACAGGACAGCGTTCATAAATAATGGGTCGCCCAATTAGCATGTGTTTCACATATATGGATGTGCAACCACGATGTAGTAATAACTACTGTCACTCATTAATTTTTGTTCTCGGTTTTTGTTTAATCGCGTAATAGTTATTCAATATTTTCTAATCATTAATTCTATACAATACTTATTTTTTGTAATTCTTTAATATGTGTAATGTCCAAATTTTTGTTATAAACTACTCTCTCCATCCCAAAATGTTTCGTACTTTGTGCAAAACGAAGAGAGTTTACAATTTTCTAAAATTCAATTTACATTAAAATTGGTATAAAATAAAAAAATAAGATTATATATTTAAAAACCAAAACAAAATTGAATTCTTCAAAAAGAGGTGACACATATATTTTATATTATCCAATAATCAATAAAAAATGTACAAATGAATAAAAATTCTTGTGATTTATAAATTTTTAAGTATGAAAATATTTTCCGGGCGGCAAGAGGAGTATTATTTTGAAAACACGGAATTCTAAATAAATTAATACTCGAACGGCACTGACAGCATTGTTTGGACTTTTTTTTTTGAAAGCTCATTGCTTGGACTTAAATTAGGAGGAATAAGTAATGTCTAACTTTTGAATACGGAGTATTTAAATAAAGAAAAATGCTAGGGGTACACTTTACCCCAAAAAGTGTACCCCATTTGTTCTCCACCCCTTTCATTACCACAAAAATTGGACAAGAAACTAATAAAATTTAAATAAATAAAAATGGGGTAAAAATGAGTAATGGAGAAAGGGGTGGGGGACAAATGAAGTACACCTTTGGTGTACCCCTAGCATTGCTCTTAAATAAAATGTAATGCCGAACAACACTTTCATAGTACTCCCTCCGTTCTAAAACTTTTTTCCCAGAGCACTAATCCAACTTCACGGGAATTTATATTTATTTGTGTTTTTTCATGGCCTATATGATAAAATAAAATATTCTTGTCACCACTTGTTTTGTTAAACTTTTGATGTAGTTTTTAAATATGTATGTTTTATTTTTTATTTCTATACCAATATTTAAATAAAATAGATTGAAAAAACTTGGGAATTTTCTTCATTTTGCGCAACGGGAAGAAAATTTTAGGACAGAGGGAGTAGTTGGGTCTAAGACCACGTTTGGCATCAGCATTAGAGATTAATGTTAACGTTTTGAAACGTTTTGAAAAGATATCTGACGGTAGTCTTTAGTGTTAGCATTTATAAAATTAGTATACATTATTAAAATTTTATCTTAAATATTAACGTTAATAAAAAAATGTTCTCAAACAAGACCTAAATCAAAGGTTATCAACATGTCATAGAGAGATACAAATTGGAGTGAATTTTTCATTTTTGAACATATTGGACAAAGACCCAAAACAAAATTCACTTCACCTAAAACAAAAAACAAAAGTGAAACTCTTAGAGAAGTGCCAGAGCCAGACAAACACAGTCTATATATTGTCAATGTTAGTCCTTTTTTGTTTCGAGGGTAATGTGACATGTTGACCACTCCAAATTCAAAACCGGCTCCACCCCAACAGAACTAACTTAGACAATCTATCACAAACCATTCCCAATTTGCACAGTAGAAATATACGGAGTGAGAAATGTGAGTAAAAAATTTACACCAATACAAACAATTTTGTTTTTTTTTTACTTTTACCGTTTCAAAGTGCTACTGAAGAAGAAAATGAATGGAGTATATGAAACCTGTAGATGATGAGAGAGTATGGAGTATATAGAGAGGTGATCAGAAAATGTCAAGAACTTCAGAGATTGAATTGTTGCAGAGAGGACAACTTCCCCTTTGAACCCATAGCTCTCTCGAGCACCGCCGGCAGAATGTGTGTCCGCAAGGTATAAACGCCGCACCCTTGTGTCTAATCATGCACACGCAGCACTGATCTACATTGCCGGCGGCGGCCGCGGCGGCAATCTCCTCCTCCGCTTCCCCTTCTTCCTCTTCCAGCAGGTAAGCTGCACCGTCCAGCCCCATTTCCCTGTCAGTCTCCGCAAGCAAAGTCATCAACGACAGTCTTGCCGGCTGGTCCCCTGTTCCTTCGCCGGAGGCTTCTGCTTCCGCTACCTCGAGCCTTGAGCTTCCTCTACCCACTGCCCGGCTGGAGCTCCTCTGCAGAAGCAGAATCAGAGTGGTTGAATCCGGCGATGTCGTCAGTTCCGGCTGTTGAATCGATTCATGGTTAAATTGCTCCCCCGCCTGCGGAGAGCTATTCGCAGCAGAAACCCGCGCAGGATGGGATTCTTCCCCCATCCAGCGGTTGCTCTGCCGGAGAGGTATGTCCGAGTCAAGGGCATGGGGGTCGGGATTGACGCAGGACCAGGCGGACACAGGGATTCTGAGACAGAGCCTATCGGTGATCTGTTTCCAGGTCTTTCGGTTTCCCTTGCTGGCAAAAGGCTCAGCCCGTATGATATCCAGGAGAGTCCGGTGGTTTGGCAGCTCCGCCGTAGCCGACCGTGGCTCTCTTCCCAGCACGGCGCCTAGAGTCAGACCCGCCACACTGTCACTGCCCCCATTAGCGTTGCTCCCCTCTTTCACTCGGAGAAAGTCTCCTAGGTTTGGCGAATCGAGTTTCTGTTCCGCCGTCTCCATCATTCTCCGGCGAAATCCACCACCGCCGGTGTCCATCAGCAACTGCTGTACCAGAAATCAATCCGAATTGAATCGCAGGAACGAACACAAAAATCAGCCTAAAATTGAAAACGAAAAAAACTGTTACATAGGTGAATATTCAGCTGGGATTCAAAATCACTGCGAACTAAAATTGAGAACAGAACAAAGCAGGAAATGTAATCGGAAAAGAAAATTCATCTTTCGGAATTACAGGATCGAGAGCTCCGATTTCTGGAACCGCGGCGGTTCCGGCGAATTCCACAATCGGAAATATTTGCAAAAATCTAAACAGCTCCAGAGAGAAATTCAACTGAAATTGAACGAGCAAATCTAGAATACAACCAATTGGAGAGATCTACGATGCATTCATGATTCCAGACTTCGCAAAACGGAATTCAAACGGAAGAAAAAACATAAAATCTAATCCAAAAACTCAAATAGAAAAGATCAAACAGAGGGAAGAAGCAAAGTTAGAGACGTACAGGTGAAGGCATGCGATTCAGTTCGCGGCAGAGCAAACAAATCTAAGATCGGATGAAATGAAACCACTATGAGACTTTTTGAGAAAAATTTAAATACTCCGAATTCAAAAATTAAAGGAAAAAACGATAAAGCAATTCATCGGGACGAAAAAAGAAATAAGACTGAAAGGAAAAGCGCGTGTGATGTATACCTTTTTGTCTCTGTCTTCTTCCTTTTCCTGCTCAGCTCTGCGTCTTCTTCCAATTTAATTTTTCTGTTCTGAACTATTTTCCTTTGATATTTGTATTACGGAGTATTATTAGCAGTGATATTATCGATTCAAAACGGTAGACAATTTATTGATCGATTGGAATGGAATGATTTGGACGGAGTCAACGACCGGATAAACACACTTGGCATTAGGATTTGGTGAGCTAAAGAGTCTTTTGAAACTCGGACCGGACAAAATTTGTTTTGTCTGCATATGTAGCTATTAAGAGCTAGTTTGGGAATAACGTTAGAGATTAGCGTTAACGTTTTAGATAAAATTTTAACGGTGCAGATTACTTTGAAAACGCTAACGCTAAACGCTGCCCGTCGATAGCCTTTTCAAAACGCTAACGCTAATCGCTAAAGCTATTTCCAAACAGGCCCTAAGTTCGAAGTCTCAGAAGCGATTTCTGACAGTGATCATGAGAAATTTTATCAATTGCGACAATTCCTTGAGCGCATCGGGAACGAGACGTTCTCTCAAAATACAAACTAAGCTAATACCATGATTCACTCCTCATTACTTTGTGTTAAAAATTCGCGGTGTGACAATGATGTGTGGCAGTGTTAGATATGATGATTATAAACCCATGACTGACTGGGTTAACGCTCGACCCAGTGGCTGCTGGACGATGTTGATCAATTCTTAAACATAAAGTATAAATTAGGGATTTAATCATGTGTACCTGATAATCCTGTAAACGTAGTTAGGGATGAGGCCATGATTCTCACGCAGATCGAGTTCCCGTTTAGAGTGTATTATTATGATGGCTAAGGTGAGAATGACTCACGAGACTAGAGAGGCAGAGAGGAGGCGTAAGATTGATGTGTTAATCTCTGCCTAATGACCTCTATATATATACACCCAAGGGGAAACCCTAATTAGGTCATAAGGGTAATTACGTCCATCGAATAATTACCAATTAAGTACGTAGGGTATTTATTAGGTCAATGATCAATTAATTAGATAAATGATAACTCAGGCCACATAATAAAATCGTGTCCAACATTCTCCCACTTGGCCGAGTAATCATTTATGATGAGTATTAGATAAGTCTGATCAGATTTTAATACTCATTTTAGTTCTAAACCGAAATTGTAGCAGAGAAATACAGTCATTGAATCAATATTCAATTCAAGACCCCCATTAATCATGCTACAATACCAAATTTAAAACTTAAATAAGCTAAGGATCAAATTGACAATTAAGCCCATAACATTATTCTGTATATAAATGTTGTCTATATGTCTTTAGGCATGCATAGACACATTCAGAGACAAACAAACAAAAGTATGAGGAAATTTTATTATTAAATGTAAGCAAGTACAATATGCAACTAAATAAGGTCTTTAGAAAACCCCATCTTCGAAACATGTTCTTCGAAAATCTTAGGAGGGAGACCTTTAGTCAT